AAATTATGTCTGAAACTGAAATGAGATATGTGCATTTTGGCAGATTATTTCAGCCAATCTTTCAACCTACCAGTGAACTCTTCCTGTCCTCCCCCTTCCCTTTAACACCCCCCCACACACACACACTTTAAAGATGTTTTTATTCATGGGGGAACAAAAAAGTCATTGAGCTGAGACCTGGAATTTCTGGGGCAAGCCACACAAAGTCTATTCCTTTTCTCATGGAGCTTTAAAATCTTGCAAGACAAGCAAACACTGAACAAATAATTACAAACTAATTTTTAAAAAAATGATTATGATACAAACCAAAATAGCAAGATCTAATAAATGTATATTAGGGGGCACTGGCTGGTGTAGCTCAGTGGATTGAGCGGGCCTGCGAACCAAGATCGGGGTTCAATTCCCAGTCAGGGCACATGCCTGGGCTGCAGGCCAGTTCCCAGCAGGGGACACATTAAGGGCAACTATACATTGATATTTCTCTCCCTCTCTCCTTCCCTTCCCCTCTAAAGATAAATAAAATCTTTTTAAAAATGTATATTATGGGGTAAAAAGGATGGCTAACTAAGAGTGTAACAAGAAAGATTCTCAACACATAGTGACAGAGGAATAACAAAGTAAAAGTTTACCAGGCAAACACACACACGAATAGTTGAAGCAGAAGAAACAGAACCTGTTAAAGTGCTGAGCAGGAAGAAGCATATCAATTCTAGGGACTAAGAGAAAGCAGTCTCACAAAAGATCCAAGGGGTAGATACAGGTCTTGTCATTCGAGGTCTCAAATCACAGAGTATGTTCAACTGTGTTCTGGGAGCAAATGAATGGTATAATTTTAAATCAGGAGAGTGGCATCATCTCATTAATTATTATAAAAACACATTCAGGAGTCATTAAAAATGTTAATAGAGACCCAAGCCAGGAAATTACTGCGGTATCCAGGTGAGAGAATTTGGTGACCAGTGAGAGGTGAGACCCATTTAACAAATATTTAATCACCTATTATTTACTAGGAATCATATTAAGTGCTGGGGATAAAATACTAACAAACAAGAACTGTGACTCATTAAGCTTAGAATTTGATGGGGAAGGCAAATGTTAACAAACAAATAATCATGCAAAGTGTGAGGTAAGAAATCATAATGATGACATCAGATTTAGATGAAAAAATGATGAAGACTTTTCTGTGGTATAAACATTTAATCTGTGCTTCAAAGAATAAATTAGGACTTGAGACAGGCAAACTTGCCTGGGATGAGAGGTAAGAGATGTGGAGAGGCATAGAAAATACTGGGGACTGCCATGTGTTTTAGGAAGAAATGACATGTATACAAGTTATGTAGCTGGACCTCAGACAGTAAACAAGGAGAAGAATACACTGAAGTTCACACTGGCTATAAAGAGGTAGGGCCAGATCATATAGACTCTGTAATACAGCTGCCCTGATCTTGGCCCATGTTTTCATTTATCTTGAATTCTTTAAATAAAAAATTTCATATACAAACGAAAGGATAATAAACTCTCATATAACCATCAATCAATTTCAACTATCAACTCTTGACCAATTCAATCTTACAAATAATATCTATCTCCCATCCCCATGGATTAATGTCGAAGCTAATTCCTATCATCAGACCATTACATCTGTATATATTTACGCATATAAATCTCTCAAAAGTTCACTTAAAATGTCTACGTACTTTAATAGTTAAAAAAATACTAATTCTTTCATGTCAAATACCCATCAAATTTCTTGATTGTCTCAATTGCTTTGTCCAAATTAAAGTTAAAATAAGATCCCTAGCAACTTGTGGGAAAAAACAAATCTGTCCTTTAGAATTCCTTATGTTGTGGATTTTGCCAAACGAACCCTTGTCACAAAGTCCACACTTCTGAACTCTATAGACAGACACTTCTAAACCACCTTTAGTTTTTTATTTAGTGTTCTGTAGATCAGGTGATAAATTTTTTGTACTTTTGTACATTAAATTTTTACATGTTTAAGACTGATGTGTACTAAAACACACCCAATCTTTAAACAGTTATTTAAGCTACCTCAAACTCTTCAATGACCACATGCCAACTTTTTATTAGACATGGTAACATACATAATATATAACCTACCAAGCACAAGAAAATCTAATAATTCTCCAACAGAGACCCTCAGCAATACTCAGACCAATCTGTCACACCCTATACTAGTCTCTAACCTGAAAATATCCAGAAGCAATTTTGCCCCTAAAACTCATCTTCCTCAACGAAAGTCTCTCCTAGTCAAACTTACCTCACGAGTCATTACTTTGTATTCTTCCAGCTTAGTGTGATCCTCTTCTTTTGTTATTTACATGTTGTATATTTCTGAGTCATGTCACACATGACTGGTCTTTAACCAAATTATCTGTGCCCTCTTATGGGCACAACTTACAATGTATTTTAACTGTAAATCAATTACATCTTAAAGATGTAATTCCCAGGAAATATGAAAAATGTAACACGTATGAGGGGGGGACCAAAAAACCCTGGAATTTATTTATTAAAAATTGTGTATTTAGCCCTGGCTGGTGTAGCTCAGTGGACTGAGCGCAGGCCTACAAACCAAACAACTGCAGTTCGATTCCCAGTCAGGGCACATGATGGACTGAAGGCCAGTTCCCACCAGGGGATGCATGAGAAGCAACCACACATTGATATTTCTCTCCCCCTCTCCTTCCCTTCCCCTCTGAAGATAAATAAATAAAATCTTTTTAAAAAATTGTGTATTTATTCTTACATGTTTAAACTTTAGTCACCTTCAAAGTACTCTCCCTTTGATGAAATACACCTATCAAGACTTTTTTCCACTGATAAAAACAGTTTTTGAACTCCTCAATTTTGATGTGCTTTAGTGCTTCAGCCATTTATTTTACCTCTTCCACACTGGCAAAATGTTTTCCTCTGAGGATTTTTTCCATGGGGCAAACAAACAAAAACAATGTTGCTTGGTGAGATGGGGTGAAGCAAAAGGTCATGCCGTTTTTGGTCAAAAACTGAACACTCAGTGTGGTGTGGGGCAGGTGTGCTGGTAAATCATCCATCATAAAATGGGCAAATGCACTGAAAACCTTCATAAAAGAATTCACTGAAACTGAATGCAGCCCCTTACAAATCCCCAGCTAGTACAGATATAGATGGGTTCCTAGAACACTCACTCACCCAGCAGGGGAAGCCTGTACTATAGTACAAGGGGCCCACCCTCCAGAAGATCATTGTTTTTGGGGGTCCCCCCATGAATTTGGCTGCTCAAGTTACAAACTGTTAAGAAAACATCTAACTGAAGCCTAAAAGACCCAGAAGACCTTAGATATATTAAAAGTGTTTGGATGGAGAAAAGTACAGCATGACAAAAAAGATGAAAGTGGTTTATATAGTTCTTGGCTGTCTATAGGACTGGACATTAGAATCTGAGCATGAAGATATAGAACAAAAACTGGCCTAGTTACTGTGTCTTTTTGAGAGAATAGGGCTCTGTTTCAAGAATAAAGCAAAATGACAAAGTTAATACTTTTGAAAGGCTCTTAGTTACTCAAAGAGCCGCTACTCTAGAATGAATCAACCAATTTTCTGTCTCCTTCTGTGCCTAGAGAGTTCATCTTTTCAGAGTGAATTCCACTTAGAAACCTTTAAAAAAATTCACAGATTAAAATATTCAAATTCTGTATGTAAGAATAATTCCTTCTTTAAAAATCTCAAATAGCTAATTAATCCCAGTCACTCAAAAGCCATAAATTAACCAGTCTAGCCAAGAGAAGCTGATGCACCCACCCCAGCTGTTGCTGGCTGCTGTTAGAGGATTATGTGAGAACAATCTAGAGAACACAACCTAAGATACGCTCAGGTCTCAAGAATGAGTCCCTGTCCTGTCAGAAGAACTTAAGTTCTTTGGTTCTGCAGTTGCACTGTCCCAGACGGTCCCCACTAGTGGCTGTTTCAGCATTTACACATGGCTGGTACTAAGAAGTGTTGTAAGTGAAAGTGCATATCACACTCCAAAGATGTGGAAAGAAAAAAGGAATGTAAACATTTCATTAATAATTTTTAAAATATGGGCTATAATTTGATACGAGACTATTTTGGATATACTGGGTTAAATAAACTCTTAAAATTTATTTTAAAAAAACCCGTAAATTAAAGAGTAGCTATTATTTTTCCATAAAATACATTTTTCATTTTCACCAATAACTTTATTGACTTGGGCATTTTGAGTAGGTTGGCTCTCTCCCACAATAATGTTGACAGTTCTCAATTAATGTCTCCTTTTGATTGCTATCAACTTTAACTAGTCTATCACACCGTGAAAAACTGTCCAGTGAGAAATCACCAGCACAAAACTCTGCAAACCACTTGACACATTCAGTCACAGACCTCTGCATTTCAGTTATTTTTACCTTCCTTGAGGTAATAAAGCATAATGTGCCATTTATTTCAACTTCGATATTAAAAGAGATACCTCAAAATCCACTAATTTGCTAAGTTTTTAAAAAATGTACGCTGATATGACAGCTGTCACAATACAATCTAACAAAATTGTTTCGAATGAAGTTAAAGACAACTAAGCTCTACTAGAGCCACCGTACAGGAAAAAACTAACGAACTTTTTGGCCAACCCAGTACTTGATCCAGCTTACTCACCTGAGCAAGAGACTGACAAGGATCACTTCTTATAAATGAAAGCTTCTCAGAAACATCACAACTTAGACTGGGAGGAAAACAATCCTCTCTTCACCATTCTCCAACTCCCCAGCCCTGGGCTCCTTAAATGAGCGGAAGAATAGAAAAGTACAATGTACAGTACTGACAGGGAGGAGGAAGGGGCAGTGAGGATACCAGCTTATTTTATTCCATGAAATCTTGTTTCTGGCGATCTCCAGCACAATCAAGAGATCTTTGTATTTAATCCAATAGATTAGCTGTATATCAATAGAATTTCTATAAAGAAACATTTAAAAACAAACTTTAAAAATACAGTGCTCACTGAAGCACGTACTAAAACTGGAACAATACAGAGAAGATCAGCATGGCTCCTGTGCAAGGATGACATGCAAATTCATGAAGCATTTGTATTTTTTAAAAAATTAATGAGAACAAAATGTAGCTTGTTGTAAAGAGTATGGTGTTTGGAGTCACTAAACACTGAAATCCAAATTGTGGCCCTGCCACTTAATTACTACTATCACTTAACCAGGTATTGAAAGATCAAGGAACAAAATTTCTTATCAATGCTCAACCTTCAGGAGCAATGGTCCAACTTTAGTGTGTATAAGAAATACCAGAGAGTTGAAATGAGTCCTGGGGATCTGCATGAATAAGAAGCCCCTTAGATAGCTCTTATGCAAGAAGAGCATACTTGCAGAAGTATTATTTAGAGCTACTGAGGTTTAGAAACAAAAAATGTATCTTCAAGAAAATGAAGTCTCATCAAGATCAACTTATTAGTTCATAAAAATAAATGTAAGAACTTCTGGTCCAAGCAAGATGGTGTAGACTCTTTCCTCCTAGTCCATACCAACAGAATACAACTATAAATCCTAGAAATATTGCAAGAGGCAACCAAATAAAAACTCTGAAAGGTAAAAAGAGGAAGGTGAACTGGCTGGGCACCTTAGGATTAGAACAACACAGTGACAGAGCATCTTAAAAAAAAAACAAAAAACCATTCAATAAAAAGTAACACCAGGCCTGGTGTTTCCTGACTTTCAACCTAACAGAAAGCAGCCCAGGTAGGCTCATCAGTCCCCTGGATAGAATAAAACAACAGTACCACCCACAATACCAAGCAAGCCCTGAAGCAACAGCAAAGGAGATGGCTCAAGGAAGGGGTCAACTAACAATTAAGAAATAAGAGACAAAGGATAATATTCTAAAACTCCATTTCTCTCTTTCCTTTTCACCAATACTCATTTTATCTATTCTCTTTCCTCCCATTATCTCTAAAATCCAAGTTATATCTCCTATTTTCCTCCTGGCTCATTCCACTTAGCCACTGCTTTCACTGACATGCCAGGCTATTGACCACAGTCCTTTACTTGGTATGCCCAAGGCAGACATCCTCACTTTCTTAGGTCTTTTCCTCTAATTACTTCAGTGAGGCCTTCCCTTGACTACCCTATCTTAAAAGTGAAAGCCTTCATCCTTCCCTAAACACACACACACACATTCTCTCTCTCTCTCTCTCTCTCATTTTTCTCTCTCCCTTCCTCCCCACCCCTCCCCTTCTGCATTTATGATTAGAAGTTACATGTAAAATATTTTATCTTATTGTCTGCTTCTCCCACTAGAACCCTCTCTTATGAGAACAGCAGGGACTTTTGTTTGTTATTACATTTCTGGTGTCTTTAACAATGCCTAGCACATGGTTAAGTGCTGAAATATTTGAATGGGAGGGAGGACAACAGGAAAAGAAAGTGGGAAGGACAGAAGTAATAACCATGATCCTAACTTTTTCTGGCAATAGATAAAAACCAAAATAACCCTACAGTGAAGCTAACCCCTATCTTATTTTGTGCCAGCTGATCTCATAAACCACTCTGGCCACTCTTGCCCAATGGGCCACACAAAATTATATTCCACAGTCTTAGTCCAAACCTCCACTGACCAGAGAAAATAAAGCTGTATTACAAAGTGAAAACTGCCAGCAAGGTACTTCATCTATATTCACCAAGCACACACAACTTGACTGGATGCTTACTGAGGGTACCATGACACAAAATTCTCACAACATCTCAATTCCCACACTTAAAAAAAATTAATATGAGAGACAGAGAGAAACATGATTTGTTGTTCTACTTTTTAACGCATTCACTGGTTGATTCTTTTAAGTGCCCTGTCCAGGGACCGAAGCCATAACCTTGGCGCATCGGGATGAGCCTCTAACCAATTGAACAATCATGTCCAGGGCTCAATTCCCCCACTTCCAAACCATTTTCTAATAGTTAGAATCTTGAATTTTATGATCTACATTAAAATATTCTATTTCAAAGTTTTCTTGGCAACTTTTGAACATTCCTTTATACAAACTCGAAAGTTGTTTTGTCAGGTTTTTCTTTACCAAATAGTATGTAAATCTGCTTCCCACCTTACCTCACCTCTTAAAAAAAAAACCTTAAGAAATAATTTTTAATGACCTAGTCAGTCCAGAGATCAAACCAGCTTACAGTACAACCTTGCTTTCTTCATGAAGGCACAAAGAAAAAGACAGTTTCACTGTCCTAACAATTGAGCAACACCAGTAAGGAGCGATACAATGTTAAGTACAATGCCTAGCATTACAATAACTGCTCAGTAAAGGGTAGCGACCACTGCCCTTGCTAACTTCTTCTGGCTACCACACCTGGCTGAACTAACTCAGCCACAAGGTATTCCATGCTCTTCCATCTAATGCTAGACGTTTGTTTTGGTAAATATGTACTCCTTAAACACACTTGAGAAACAGGAATCTGAGACCAATCATCTTTTATTCTGAATAGAGTTAAAACATGTCAGTATGGTATATACAGACAGGCCATACTGGAATTTTTAGTAAGCAGGGGCCAGTGATGCTGCTGCAATACAATATGTAAGAAAGTCCCCACAACAAAACATTAATAGAACAGTAAGAAATTCTGTTTTATGTGAGTCATTGATTAGTATAAAATCTTACATTTCTCAAGTCAACTCTGCCTTTTGGTATTCTGTGGCCCCAACATTTTTGCAGGCTTTTTGGCTAAGAAGCCACCAAAGTCTTAAGGTTCTTTCATAATGAGGTGAATGGTAACACAGAAGTTCAGGCTGTGACCCAACATTTGGGGTGAGGGGGAAGAATACAACACAAAATATCAGGGTATGTAATACGCAGAGTATATATGTAGTAAATGAAACTTTTTTGTTGGCATATGCAAGCTAGTGGTTCTTCAGATTCACCTGCAAGTAAAAGGAATCATACAAACTGTCTATCTTACTGTAAATGATGTTTAAAACAAGAATCTAAAGCCACTGTTCAGTTCTCTCATCTACAAAATTAATAAGCTGCACTAAAAAAACTACAAGGCTCTTTAGTTACTCGATGTGATGAACTGCCCTGGCTCGGGTAGTTCAGTTGGTTCAAACACAGTCCAAATAGTCCAAGGTTGTGGGTTGGATCCCATCAGGGCACATACAAGAATCAAACAATGAATGCACAAATAAATGCAACAACTAATCAATGTATGTCTCTCAAATCAATAAATAAAAATATGATGAACCTATAATCATCAGCATGAAGTATATTCTGTATGTACAGCTGTAATTTTTACTGGGGTAGAAAAACTAGATAGATACCTACAGGATCAAATTCACTTCAGAAGCTTCAATAAAATTATTTCCCTTAGTTACTAGACTCATATAGACTAGGATCTTGATGTGCCAAGTCTAAATCTAAATCACCTTCCTAAACATGCCAAAAACTTTTAGAACCAAAACAAACATTAGGGATTTCCTCTAAGCATCTCAATTTATATGTGATCAAAATGGCACCAAAATGAAACCCAAGGAGTAAATCACTTTCTTAGAGTTTAAGTCAATTCACAGTCAGGCTCTTAAAGCAAACATTAGTCAAAGCTCTCAGGAGAGTATGGCATGCAAACATCAGCTAAAAGTTAACATTCAAATTTAAAAAATTACTATGGCTGCTTTAAATAATTGGCACAGGTTAACTGTGACTCAAATGTCTTTAAAATGTAACTATTTTACTGACTCAGATATGACTGGTAGATCAGTACTGCCATGTTTGACATTTTTCTAATATATAAAATTAACCCTAATGCTTTATTCTTAGAAATAAGTACGAAACATATAAATAATGGAAAACATACACGGATCAGACAATGGCAACATCTACAATGAACTAGTAAGGAGTTCCACCATTAAAGGCCCCAACCTATTCCTTAGTTATACAGCCCTTAAGTTTCTCCACTTGCAGAATTGGTCATGAGGATTCCTTCAGCCCTAAAATTCTACCTATCTTTGCTCCTAAGTGTAACATTATAAACAGGAGACTGTACATTTTACTCACAGTTTAAGGCATATTCCTGCAAACAAAGTGCCTATTAATTAATAATGAATTAAAACACCTGGTCAGTCAAAGTATGTAGGCTCTGTCTCTCTAGTTAGCTTTTAGAGCCAAGCAGTGCCTGAACTACAAAATAGGTACTTATGAATTTTTGTTTACTAAGAGCCCTGGACCCAACATTTAAGACTAGACCATCTACTTGAATGAGAAGTGAGAACTGTTAAGTACTGAAACAATCGTACTCTTTCTTAAATATTCTAAAGACGGAAGAAGGCTACATTATTTCCTAACTTGCTGAACTAGGCCTAGAAAAATTTTATCCCAATGTTCTTAAACGGACTACTGTTAAGTTCCTCCCTATGAGTTCTACATTTTGATATAGTTTACTCTTGACTGAAACCCAAGTGAGTGAATAAGTAACTTCCAAAAAATAAGTCTTAATCCACATTATTAGATAATTATTTCGGCATTTAACAGTAATGTTAATTTCTTCACAGGTCATAAATTACATCACAAAGAAAGATTCTGACCAGATAAAAAGTTAAAACAATTTTTATTTAACAGTTTCTCCTTTTGATTTAGACGCCCTCTAAAGAGCTGTCCAGGTAAAGGTCTCTCACTGGAACTCCATGCTGAAGATCTTACAATACTTATTAGCTATTTTTATAAGTAAGGCAAGCAGAATCATTTTAAAAAACAAAAGATTACAACAGACTTTTCATTCACCCCTACTGCAAAAGAGGAAATGTATAAAGCTACAGAGAAGCAACAGTTTTATATCAAACCCTCCCTTTCAACTGCCACCAATTATACAGCTCCTGAAAGCTAAACAGAAATCCTAGGGGAAAAATACACATCCTAGAGATAAAGATAATTTCAAAGGTGTATTACACAATGGTATATATAGCTTTTCAGATAGCTCTATATGATTTCAAACTAAATTAAAGATAAAAACTTCACTGTAACATTATGAAAGAGAAAGTTTATTTGCAGGACACTCCCACTCCCCCCCCAAAAGTGAGTTTAAACACTCCAAGTAGCTTT